GGAAGCACGCGATATGCTGGCTAATAATACTCACCGTCGGCCTAAACTCGGTTAAAGGGTGTCAGGCTCGAGGCGACCAGGCAGCCAGCCAGCCAGCCAGTCAGCCATTTTCCCTCTATTTTCTTATCCCCTCTGGTCTCTCGATTACCTTCTAGCCCGCTAACATGTTCGTCCTTCTGCTTTTTCGCGAACGTGTGTACAAGTATCATGCGTATCACGTCGGCCATACGTGTCGCACGCGGGAGACATTCGCAAAATGCACGTGTCCCTTCTCTGTCTCTTTGCTGTCCATGCACCTGCGATCGCCTAGACATCGAGCCATAGATGTATCTACCATGAAAGCTGAAAAACCGATGTTGTTCGCTCTTCCTTTTCGGGAACACCAGATGGAATTATCGAACAGTTTTTTATCGCATACAGATGGACTGCTCATCATTTCGGAGCTTAGTTTTAACGTTCAATTTCGACGCTACACCAGTACCCTATCATGAATCATGTGGATAAGTTCATACTGATTTCGTTGGTATAGTCATCAGCTTTCCCATTGGATCTCCTGAACCTTGAAGATTAACAACTTCAGTGCCTACCTGTTATACCTATAGTGACAGTCTTTTTTTAAATTTCCCTTTAACTAAAGGTCCATAAAAGAATAGGTAAATCCTGAAGTTTAAAGACCGCATACAGAAGGTTTTCGATTATTGCCTTACGTGATTCAAATGTAAAAAGTCGTAATGTGTTATCTTACATCAGCTACTATTGGTGAACGTGAGAGTCTGTCGGTGAATTCCACGGCTGACGAAAGGTGAATGTTAAAGCGAGAAATTCGCAAGCTTTAGGCAAATAATAATGCTGTTGTACGTCGAGAAGCGAGATTCGCAAGGAGAGATCCATGTCCTGGAGGCGCGTATGTAGGTCAGCCTGACGATATTGATGACGAGCCATTAACTGGCCATCTGCTTTGAAAGATGTTGAATAAAACCGGATTTTGTCGTGGTTTCTACGTTGATAAATTATTCCTTTGTCATCTACGAACGTATATCCACCAACAAACAAAAGCCTATTTGTCCACTTGTTAAACACTTGGAAACTATTTTCATTAATAATTGCATTTAATTTCTCCTTAACGTTTCTCTGACATCAATCTTGTTATACATAAATTGCCATAAATTTATATCGTTCAGATTTCTAAATATTCAGATATTCCAGCATTCTTTTATTCATCGGTTTTACTAATTGTACATATATCATCGAGATGGAATGATGTAATCTGATGAATTATTATCTTCATTAATTGCAGCATACGATGCTAATTGTTTGAGTACGGATTCCGTGTTATTGGAAATTCAAAGATGGATTTTCTTCGCGGTTTGAGCGAAAATAACGGCAACCTCGAGTTAACACAATACTTTCTGCTTAATCGTCAGCGTGCGTGCCTGTACACACGTTTGTTACGTATCCGTGGTATGCGAGCAATCATTCTATTCCGTCTCGACTTAGTTCTGCGTCGGCTCTTGAATTATTACGTTAAATGCGAGCGTACGGCGAGTCGCGGCCTAAACGCCGCTAATAACCAGTGACACGTGCATGAATCGCAACATATCAACGCGGTGGAATTCCTGTTTCGATAACTGCAATTAAAATTTCAAATAATTAGAGTTCGTGCAAGCATTACGATTAAAAAACACTACTGTTCGCTGATATAGCTCACGCGTAAACAAAAAAAAACACTTTTGTCGCTTTAAATAACATGTGTATTATTTAATTAGTACTTTACAATTCAATTACTTTACTTTCCTATAATTTTTCTTAACTCGCTGTTGCAGTCTTAAAAATATAATTATAACAGTCTACATCTAACATATTTAATATAACATTCTAATTTATGATTAAAAACTTAAGAAAGAACGAGTTAATACGTTCGCAATTATGCAGGTGATTGAAATTGTAAATTTGAATTTTCGCGCGCTTGCTTGGACTGATTACACATACTCAGTCCTCGCGACGCGTGCGATTTACATGTACAGACTCAAACGCTGTTCGCGACGTTTTTTGAGAGTACGGTCCAGCTTGGTAGACTAAGGAAACAGTTTCCAAGAAGTTGTATCTTCGTGATAAATATGTATGTTTTATATAATAATCTATTTTATGTCGAGACATATATTCCTAATTTTCTAAACCTGCATTCCTAGAACATGAAGAGAAAATAAAGCATTTATTATACAAGGTAATGTCACGTTAAAAAACTTGATATAAAAATAGAAAGAATATCAAAACCAAGTCGATACATTGTCGAGTGCGTTCATCTGCACCGTTTAAGTAATTCAATTGACACGCGTTCGTTTTCTACGCGAGCTTGTTATTTTTATGATCGAAGTTTACGGGCAATAAATATAACCCGGTTGCGCTTCCGTCACGGACAACTTGATTTTAATGTAAGAAACCAGCTACGTCGCAGCCGAATTTTGTGCCACGAAACCTGTTGATCTGGGAATCTATCCAAAAAGTCGAAGGACGCGAAAAACTAACATACATATTATTGCCATATGTAGTTTTACATAGTGTCTATACATGCGATGACTAGTGAACATTTAACACTTTTACCGTAACATATAAATTACATATAATCTATGTCATAGAGCAGTAAAAATGTTTAGAAAAGTTTTCCGCGAATACCGTGCGTAAAGTTCCAAGGATTCACCGGCTCTACACCGGTTGATTCGCATAGTTTTCACGTAGTTCGAGCGCCATTAAGGCGTCTGGAAGGAAACGTTAGCGGTCGAGTAATTAATTTCGTATTAGTCATCGTGCAGAGTCAGTGAACTTGGTGTATCTCTTAGACGGTCGAGAGCTCGAACGATTTTGTTTCTTACTTTAAACAAAAAAAAAGAGTTCTATCCGATCCAGTGAATTCTCCTTTCTTCCTTCGCTCCTTTACGCAGATCGAACGTGTTTCGTGATTACAGTCCGTAAGTAATCGTTCCGCGCGCAAAAACGAAAGTCGATTTACATAAGGTCGAATCCCGTTCGCGGAATTCGATACAGTTTCAGATATTCTTTTTAATCGATCGTCCGATAAAAAATCGATAGTTGTGAACCATGCATCGTGCGTGAATGACTTCTGCGCAGAAATGGCGACCGCATGAGCCGTTTTGCCAGACTTGCCGGTCGGTGCAATTTCAAATAAACCAACATGTCTTTCGTAACTTTCACTGGGTATACGCCCGTGGGGGCTCATAACGCTCTTATCAGATCGATTTTCCTGTTCGTGGATCGATAAGAAAAATGTATGCGAAAATATCCGTAAACAAGTTAAACTTACTAATTGGACGGAAAGTATTCGACTCGTATTTTGTACGAATATATATTTCTTACTTTAGTCCGTCGAAATTTTCATGAACGCTTATAAATCTTTCGACCACAACATTTATATTTTCATTGTAAAGTAAGAAACAATACGCTTTGAAAATAAATGACCAAATTATCATTAGTCGCTCTACTGCGCATGAGCAGTTCCGTTGTGACACTTAACCTAAAACTACACATTGTCCATAGATTTTAAACTAATCGACTTTTCTCTTTTCTGTTTCAGGTAAGTTTTCAACGACTTGAAGGCAGCAAGTATTTTATTACCCGCCCTGAATATATTAGGTACGCCCATATCTTTACAATCCACCGCGATCATCTATATTTTAATATTGTTTTAATCGCGTTGAAATTACTTTGGAACTTTTAAGGATGTCACGGAAAGTCCTCTAACGATATTAAACAATTTTGGAACTTTTTGAACTTCGTAGAAAATTTTATCCAACGATGTTTTTGCGTAACATAGTATTTAAAGTATGCCGTTCAGTCAGTCACGATACGTGACTTCATTAGTGAACGTCGAGGAGAAAATATTTTCAACGGAGCGTCTTATTAAAAGCACGTTCTTACGTGTATGCGAACTACAACATATAATATGCATACATTTTTGTATTGGCTGCTTAAAAGTACGGACGTGTCGAGTTGATGACTTCGAGCCTAATACCATTGTTATTTTTAAATCTTTTATCATGAACATTCTAGGCTATATTGATAAACGTTTGATTCGATCGAATTCTAATCGTATTTTGCTTATCCGTCAGGCTTTTTAACCGTTATTTTATCTCTGTCACGTCACCACATTTTAGCGAGTACAGTAGGCTTCCTTAGGAACAGTAACGAGGTAGCGGAAAGATAACTCACCACTTGTCGGTTTCCTGTTGATAAATTAAAAAATTTAGAACTTTTGAAATTTCACGGTCCAAATATCTTCAGGTTTACGTATTATATCTCGTCTTAATCCAAAGAAAGCCTACACATATTTGAAATACGATGATACGGTCAATTGCATATAAGGTAAACGCAATAGTATTGTGCACTCGCTTGCCTCGAGGTCGACCTTGCTGGTACAACGATCTGAAAGTAATTGTTCTTTGGCGTGAAATCCTACTTTGTATTCTACTGCTCGCTTTCGGTATCGTTTAAATTGTCCTCGATTAGTAAGTTCACGATCGCTTCCGACTGCTTCCGAAAACATACGATTGACAGAGTACGCTTCTTTATCCCTTCCTAAAGTTCAACATCAGATGCATTCGATACGAGAGAACATACCAAAGTCTTGAAACAAGAATTGCGCGGGTTAGAAATTAGGTTCCATGTCGTGTACGCGTACCGCGAAATGCGAAAGGACTAGCAGTGTGTCATGGTGTTGCGCGAGTGCGTAACGTACTGTATCTTCTCAAGGCGAAGAAACGGAATGTCCGGTATGCGCCGGCAAAGAGGAACTCTTTTGCGGAGGGATGAGTGAGCTTGACGACTGGTTCTCTCTTACCTGCTCCCCTCTGGCACTTTTCTTTTCCCGTCCCCTCGCGGCTATTAAGGACGCATGCGCATGCGCATGCGCATGCGCATCCACGCGCATCCGTCGATGGCTAGCGATGGGATCGACTCGATTCATTACTCTCGAAAGTATCGACCAATAAAAGTTCATCAATTTCATCTGCTTCTTTTCACGTAGTGTATTTAATCTGCTCGTTATTATTGGCATTCAATGAAAATATTGACACATATATTAACCGAAGCTGTAAGTAAATATTTTGTTAGATTTAATTCGAACGTAGACTTGGTTAGTTTATGTACTTAAAGATCACTAGTGCTCGTGCATTTACCGTTAACGCTGTTACGTTCGAGGTAATTATTTATCCGTTACTCATAGGTGAAACGTTAATTCAAGATAATCGACAGAGCAGTATCTGGTATTCGCGTGAGAAATCGCGGAATTTCTTCTGCAATACCGGCACCGCACGCGAGGATATTGGTCCCATCGCTAGACACATGCACGCCAGCGCCGCGTGAAACAACCAGTGGCGTATCAGAGAAAACAGTAATGGAAGATATCGAGCAGTTTTTCAAGTTTCGTTCGTTTCCATTTTAAATGATCGAAGTATGGAAAAGTATTTATATATATTTCTTGCATAATCAGCACTATTCTCTTAGCGTTTATAAAGTATATCATAATCCTTTACGCAAATACATCAGATTTTCGTTCGAACGTAAAATTTCAGGTTGAAACCGATACCGATTAGCAGGCGAGTTAACGGCTCGGCGTCGTCGTGACTTCTATCGGCAGATTAATCGAGCGTGTTGGCGGAGAGATGAGAAATGAATTTCTAAATAGAGTTCGCAACGTACTCTCGCTGAAATCGAGAAGCGGACACTGCGCCACTGCGTGAGAGTAGTTCGAGTACCTGTACGGTCTATATCTGTTACCATGTTCACTGACTGCATGTATCTTGGCCGTGAAGCAGTAAACGGGATTAAACCGAGTTGCAATTCTAACGCACGGTGAACTTTATCTGTTCGCTTCATTTGCACTCTCTCTACGCAGAGCTATACACGAGAAGTTTATGCGCTATGATCTTTTTCCTGATAAAACATTTGTTGAACTTAACCTTTTGCACTCAAAGCACGCGACGAACAAATGACATACAGTACCGCGATTCAAACACGTCTCGTACGCAGTCAATAACTTTTAACAGTTAAATGTGTCTCGTTAATAATTCTTTCGCCAGATGCAAATGAAGCCTTAGAGTTAGTTTCGAAAAAGGTATCTTTGCATATTATGAATTTTAACTCGAGGTTTGATTAAATATTACACTGTGTAAACTCGAGTATAAGTCAAAGCCTAAATCCGTTCGCTTGAATAGAATCGTTGTATAGCACTGTAGTGAAATAGCGGTATAGTATAGATATAATATTATGTTAATTCTAACTCTGACAAAGAGATTTTTTTACTATATGTAGAAAGTATTAACCTTTGTTAAAATTTTCTTTTCTCCTAGTTATCCGATCGTATCATATTCGAGAGACAGTCATCAGTTCCCAGCACAATTAACGCGTTAATCAGCGTTCATATAATCGAACATTCTACTGGAAAAAGAATAGACGAGGGCAATCTTCTCGCATGCACCGACGCTTCCGAGAGAAAACTCAGAGAACGGCGTTTCATGATCTACATTAATGGATCTCCGGTAGTGGTCCTCCCCTCTTTGGACGAAAAGAAGAAAATCTTTATCGTATTTGTAACACGAGTCCGTTTGCTAATAGAGCGTAACATTCATGCGAGATCGTACAACTGACGCGGTTTGCCCTGCCGTGGTATGTGGGACATCCTGATCCCTCTCAGGTCCTGCTTTGGGATATATGTATTAACATAAAAGAAAGTGCGGTCCAAACTACATCATGCAAGGCCATTCGATCTTCGACGCACGTTGCACCGTAATTTTATAGCGAAAGTAGAAATTGTCTACTCGATCTTGGGAATTTTTTGCTACAAATATCCTTGTGTCGAACGTTCTCCATGAAAATAATGATCATGTTATTAGAAAACGGACTACAATGTATTGACATTAATTTCTACGCTGATCCATAAAATTCTTTTTAAGATTATTGCCTCCGGTATTATTAGATTTTGATTTATCTACGTTGCGATAGTTCTAGATACGTAGTAATGTATAGGCTAAGAGAGAAATGGAGATATTAAATATCACGCAGAATTAAGCGTGGAGACTCTGTTTGCTTCCATACGTGATTTTCTACCTTGCAAGCAGTTTTTTTTCGAACGCGACGAATACACGTAATCGTTCATTGTAACACGAGAGCTCGAGTTCTTTCATAAAACTGTCACTCTGTTACGACAATTTACGATTGTATTTCAAAACGTCAGCGACAGAATATAGGATCGTTGAACTCCGTTGAAATAGGAATAGCCAAGGTGAAGAACACTGTTTACTATCTTTTCTTATCAGAATTAATTTGAATTAATGTCTGTGAATATTTTTTTGTTATTTTAATAGTTAGCAGCAGTTACGCTTATGCATCAGATTAAGAGCTAATATATCGGATACACAGGATCAAATTAATTCACTAGGTAAAGGAAAACCAGTCAGACGAATTTTTCTTCGTGGTATTTCATCGATGTTTACGTTATCTTTTTAAGATCGCTTCGCAATTTAACCGGTCAACGAATCCATAAAAAAAGTGTTTAGTCCGGTAAAACGATTTAATAACAAAATAAGGTGAAAGACTATTTTAGAAAGTGATTACGAGAGCCGTAGTTTCACGTATGCTGGACGACTCGATAAAAGGCCCCCACCATTATCATTTATCAGTGACCTCGTGCAGTCACGCCTCTTTGATAAGACGAAAGAATCAACCGATTCCTGTATCCCATCGCTCTCTTCATTTTCATTCTCTGCACCGTCAGACTCGTACATTTTCAAGAAAGTTCTTCCCGAATAATTAATGTAACTTCGAATATTCTGTTTACCACGAACTTCGCGATCGCTTTTCTTCTAACATAACTCACCAAAGATGGCCTCCCTTTGCGCACAAGTGTTTCCAACCGATCGAGAACCAACGGCAAACTGGTTCGCGGGAAAACCATTAATTTTCACGAAGTCGAAGAAAGCTTCGAAGTACTCTCGAAGTGAAATTTACGATAATGCTCCTCGACCACCATGTAACGAGCCATTTTCGTTGCCCAGTTTATGTTAGAAATTTACCGCAAATCAGTCAAGTAGTCGCTGCTAATAGAATCATTTTGCATGGACGTTTACCAACAGTCTGTCTTCTTTCTTCTTTGTATCAATGAAAACACCATTAAGGATACCGCTTAATTAACGAGAAGGATTTATCACGTTACGAGACTACATTTTCTCGATAAATATCAATGGACGTTATTGCCACAAATTAGTACTCTTCGCGATTAACAATATTCAGATAAATGTGACTGTTAATATTCTTAAGTACGAATAATTCATTCTAGGGATTGTAACCTTTTTATTTACGCCAGCTGCGGGATGTGGCGGCCATCTTGGATCTTCTCGATCAAGGTTTGCTTACTTTTTTTTAACTTTATTTGAGGGGCAAGCTTATTTTTAAATTTTAAATATGAATGTGGTAAAATTTGCAAATTTAAACATTTTTAAATTTTCTTTAATTTAGAAAATTTTTAAATTTTTAAATTTTCAAATGGCTAAATCCCCAAATTTCCTAATTTACAAATTTTCAAGTTCCAAATCCCTAAATTTCCAACTCCTCAAAATTCCATCTCCCCAAATTTCCAACTCCTCAAAATTCCAATTCCCCAAATTTCCAACTCCCCAAAATTCCAATTCCCCAAATTTCCATCTCCCCAAATTTCCAACTCTTCAAATTTCCATCTCCCCAAATTTCCAACTCCCCAAAATTCCAATTCCCCAAATTTCCAACTCCCCAAATTCCCATCTCCCCAAATTTCCAACTCCCCAAATTCCCATCTCCCCAAATTTCCAACTCCCCAAATTCCCATCTCCCCAAATTTCCAACTCCCCAAAATTCCAATTCCCAAAATTTCCAACTCCTCAAATTTCCATCTCCCCAAAATTCCAACTCTTCAAATTTCCATCTCCCCAAATTTCCAACTCCTCAAATTTCCAACTCCTCAAATTTCCAACTCCCTAAATTTCCAACTCCCCAAAATTCCAATTCCCCAAATTTCCATCTCCCAAAAATTCCATCTCCCCAAAATTCCATCTCCCCAAATTCCCATCTCCCTAAATTTCCATCTCCCCAAAATTCCATCTCCCCAAATTTCCAACTCCCCAAAATTCCATTTCCCCAAATTTCCAACTCCCCAAATTCCCATCTCCCCAAATTTCCAACTCCCCAAAATTCCAACTCCTCAAACTTCCATATCCCCAAATTTCCAACTCCCCAAAATTCCAACTCCTCAAACTTCCATCTCCCCAAATTTTCACCTCCCCATATCCAAAAACACCCACTTCATATTTAAACACTCCCAAATTATTAACTAAAAATCAATTACAGAACAAATTGTTAATGACGCACCGGGTGCGTCACCAATAGTTCAGACGCACATGGTGCGTCAGTATGTTAATTATGACAAGGAGGCGGACGATTTGTCCGTAGATGCCGCCGGTTCAATTGAACGGCATGCAGACAACGTGGCCGTTGGTCACTGCGAAATAGAGAACGACGTGTGAAATGGGTATCGTGATGTACCGACCGGATGTCACTTCCTGCTTACCACGTCTGCGCATCATTGTAACGTGCACCGTACCTAGCGATGGGAATAAGACGAAGCCTCTCCCAGTTTACTATTGACCATTTCCAACGATGAAAAGGAGAGCGCGGCTTGTAACCAGGATCGGATCCAGTCCGATGAGTTTTAGAATGCAGAAATAGCCATCACCTGCTATGCGAATAGAATTCAATGAACTTGGCGAAATATGAATGTTCGTAATTTTCTAACCTCAAAATTTGAGGCGAGTTGTAATTGAATGTATGAAAAGAAACGGTGCAGGAAGTAGCAGGAAATATCTGGACAGATAAGCGATTCGGCTTCCGATCGTTTAGTGTTTTCTGCAGGAATTAAAAAAAAAAGAAATATGCAAATGAACGAGCTCGTAATACAGTGTAGACCAGAAGCAAAAGCACAAAACGGGACTTCCTTGTGTCCATGGCGTTTGCTAATAAGGTGGAAAGGAAGAAAGGGAGGAAAGAGATCTGTAAAGTAGTACAGGAAGCGACAAGCGACTTGGAGTTTCATGATAAGTGATTTACAACCGTGACTTTCAGCTGGGTCCTCCCTCTCCTGTTACTTCTCTTTCCTCTCATTCTCTCCCTCCTCTCTCTCTTTCTTTCTCTTTCTCTCTACCTTCTTCTTCTTGCCATTTTCCTTCTCTCTCCAGCTGGTTCGTTCTCCGGCAAACGGTAAACCGTGTTATCACAACTATGCCAAAAATGCAAATCAACGAGAGGCCTTTCTAAAGAGGTTGGAATGCAACGCACTTGAAAGTCCTGGAAAGGCTTGTCCTGGGAGATTGCGACAGATGTAGCTACCTGGCTGATGGGGTGTTCTTGTAGATTTTCAAATGGGTACAGTGTTTAGGAAAAAAAGTTTCCCAAATTTCCATATTCTGAAATTAAAAAATTGTTGAATTACTGTATTCCATATTTCTGAATTCCTGAATTCCTAAATTTCTAAATCTCCAAATTCCCAAATTTCTAAATCTCCAGATACCTAAATTCCCAAATTTCTAAATCCCTAAATTTCCAAGTTCCCAAATTTCTAAATCCCCAAATTTCTAAACCCCCAAATTTCTAAATCCCTAAATTTCGAAGTTCCCAAATTTCTAAACCCCCAAAGTTCTAAATTCCAAAATTCCAAATTTCTAAAATCCCAGTTCTTAAATTTCTAAATTCCCAAATCGCCATATTTGAGTATCCCTAAATTTGCAGACCTTAATCCCCTGTACCACTGTACCGCCATTTTATCACTCCACTGGTTTATTCCTCAGAATCAATTTATTCACCCGATTCCTCGTCCGTAGATCTAAAATCAGAAACAGATATTATATCTCATAACTTATTTGTACCTTTATAAACGTATAACGCTTCCTGAAATAATCGACCCATCACCACCAGCCATAGGCAGTGAGAAAGTCTTTCATGATTACGAGATAGATTTATTTTTGACGTTACACTAATCAACAGCCCATAGAAAATATTTCTGTACATCTTTGATTAAATTCTGACAATCCCCTGCTGGTACAAGATCCAAGAATATAATTTCTTCCGCGCCTGCGCACTTGACGAAAAATATTTGTTTCCGCCGTCATCTAAGGTCCCTTTTATTTTATCGCTCGCCTTTCTACTTAGTGGAACGGAATGAACGTTCTAACTTCGACGAATCGATGCGGAATGAACGGTGTGGGTCGAAAAGGATGAAATAGGTGAAATGCATCAAGAAACCTGTGAAAAATTGTAAAATCGTAATTCCATTATGGTTACATTGCACGGAGATGATTTTCCTTGAAGTAAGGCAGTAGCGAACGAGCCGAGAATGTATGGAGAACATAACCTCTTCGATTTATTGTGACTCGACTAATACGTATTTTTGCAATCGGTGATTTATCGGCGATTGAAAAATCTAATGAGCTCGAATAAACCTATAGAGTTTACTCAGTTTCAACTGAACATCTCGAGCAACCTTCGAGTCTGTTTTACGTTCAAGCCCGTACGTTGCAATTAAGGCCTATTTGTGAATAAATTTATCTGGCAGCAGACCAACCGATTGTACTTGCTGTTGCTTACACGGACTTACAACAGTTACTGTAATGTGTTTGCTAAAGACATTAACTGACACGAATTTACTGTGCAAATGACTCTAATTAGGATGGCCGCAAGCAGAACGACCAAGCTTGTGTGTTCTGCGTTAACCATGCTACTCTTGCGTGTGTAGGTTTTCACGCAGAATCATTTAGAAGCATAAACGTAATAATCTTTAGCCATGAAACGTCCCCGAGAAATTAGCGTAGAAATGATTACAGAAATAATTACCAGAGAAACCAGTTCTCTTTGTACGTACTTATCTTTCTGTCGTTGTTACAATTTTGAAAGATCATCTTTTTTATAACTTCAAACCATTCAGCACAATATTAACTCGTTTAATTCACCGGTCATCGCATATATTGTGTTACCTCCCGAGTTCACCGTGAGACACGCGATATCGTATGTTTCGATACTAAACGATTCGATATTTAGAGTACTCCCAACGTTACGAGTTCCGACAGAGTGCGCATAATGTTGCGAATTTCGATACTTTAATGCGATATCGCGTTTAATATTTCGAGTGCACTAAACATCGCATTACCCGAATTTTCGATACTTCGATATTAACTCTTTTTCGATCATTTTCGAAATACCTTTGAAATCCTTCCAGAAGCAAATTCTTTTGGAAAAATAAAAATGTTCACGAAAGCGGTGAATTAAAGAAGGATTTTTGTTATATTCCAGGGTACAAACGGTCCGAGACCGACGTATGTGGGTGCTAACAATGGTAACGCCGGTGGCGCCGGGGGC